TTGTATTATTTAACGGTCTTTTATATTGTATTAATAATAATTAATATCCTATCAATGTTTTATTATTAATGTAACTTATGTTAAATATAATATATTGTTATTGTTAACTTATATCAATTATATTATAATACTATTTTGGTATTAGAATTGTATTGACATAATTATTAGTATTGTATTATTATTATTATCATTATTGTAACTATATTTTTTTATTTATTGTGATTTGAGACCCTTAAACGAAATTATAATAAGTAAGAAATTTGTATGATGGTTTTATTTAGTTATGCATACAGAATTATTTAATTCTCTAATTGCACAATAACTTATGCATATTAGATGGTTCTTTTATCTCTTTTGACAATTGCAATACCCTCTTATATGAAAACGTTAATCATGACAAAGTATAATGAGTAAAAGGAATCTCTTGATCTGTATTTGGCTATTGTCAATATGAAGTTGGCTTTAAGAAAGACAAGTCACTAGCTATTACTGTTGATTCTAATACTGGCTATTACTATTGATTCTACCTTCACTAGATCATGTTTGACGAGTACTCTAGAAAGTATCAAATGCTAATTTTTTTCTAAATTCAGTTGGTGACAAGTTTAAGACTTTTGACAAGGCTCAAAAAAGTCACCATTTTCTACTATTTGATAACACCAAAAATGTGATGTTAGTGGTGTTCTTTAACATATGCTAAAAATGGTGTATTATTATAACAAGTTGAAGTTTATGAACATTTATATTGATGACAATTACTTAATTGGAAAAACTCTTGAGTCACTCCCTTCTTAGTTTGACATTTCTAAAATATCTAATGACAGTCAAAATCGTGAGTGTTCTATTGATAACATGATTGTTATTATTTCTCAAGAGAGATTTTACGAAAAAGGATAAATTTTATGTTGTTTAATTTGCTGCAAAGTATCACGATGAGAAGTTTATTACTTTTAGTTTAGTTATTAATGACTCAAACTAGGATTATAAAGGCAAATTTATTTATAAGAATAAGAAAGCAGGTAAAGTAATAATGCAGTTGGAGCCTAAAAAGAAGTATTTGAAAGGATATTGCAATTATGGCAAGAAATTTGGCCATAAAATGAAGGATTGTTTTTTTCTTTAAAAAGAAAAATTATATATATATAATATTCATATTGTGAATTGTATGCAAAGGTTATAAGGAAAATAAGTGATGTTGAGTCAAAAATTATTATGGGTGATGGTGCTAGTAGTGGTGGAAGACATAAGAGTAGTATCATTCTATTTACCTTTTGGACATATTTTTTTGTTAAATAACGTTTATGTACATTTTTATGAGAAGGAACTTGATTTCAATTTCAGTTTTAGATAAAAATCGTAACATTTTTTAATTTGAAAATAGAAAACTTGTATTTTTTTTAATCCACTATTGTTGATTAAGAAATATTATGCGATGAATTATAAATGTTGAATTTAAATTATATATTTATCTAACTTTATTGTTGACAACGTGCTATGTCTAATAAGAGTTCATGTACGCTATGACATAAGCGTTTAGAACACATTTCCAAACTAAGAATAGAGAGATTGATTAAATAGGGTATTTTGCATAATTTAAACTTCACTAATTTTGATACATGTGTTGATTGCAAAAAGGGCAAGATGACTCCTAAACCCAGAAAAACAATAATAAATATATGTACTAATATATTACAGTTGATTCATAATGATATGTGTGAACCTATTAAACTTATTGCCATAGGTGGATATAAATACTTTATTACCTTCATAGATGACTTTGTCAGTTTTGATTGGATTGATCTTCTTCAAGAAAAGTCTAGCTCCTTATATGCCTTTAAATCTTTAGAAATTGTCATTTAATTGAAAACAAATAACATGATCAAGAGTTTGAGGTTTAATAGGAGAAGAAAATATTATGGCAGGTATGATGAGACTAGTAAAAATATGGGCCCCTTTGTTAGATTTATGAAGGATTATGATATTAAAGTTCATTATACTATGTCTAGTACTCCTGAGCAAAATGGAGTGGCAAAGAGACAGAATCACACATTTCTAGATATGGTAAGATGTATGATGAGTCATTTTTTCTTGCTAGATTTTCTTTGAAGAGATTGTTTAAGGACTGCTAAGTACATACTTAATCAAATATCTAGAAAATATGTATAAAAAATTCATTATGAGCTTATGACTAGAATGAAGTTAAGTTAAAAGCACTCTTATGTGTGGGGTTGTAAGGTAGAGGTGAGATCTTATAATCCTCAAATAAAGAAAGTTGATTCAAAGACAATTAGATTTTTCATTGGCTATTATGTGGGTTATCAGGCAATAGATTTTATTATTCTTCACACTTTACTTAAGTCATCTAATTTGACAATGTGTCATCAAATTTGATAATGTCATGTTTTGAGAATGACTTGGATAGTGGAAGTAATACAACATGACAAGTTATCCTTAGCGAAGATTACACTATTTCCATACATACCCATTTCACTTCTAGTGGATATTGTGATTCCTTTTGCACACAAGGATGATCATATTGTTCTAAATAACATTGATAATACATTATCAATGATAATTGAACAGATACATGATAACATGGTTGAAGAAGTTTTTTTAAGGAGATCTCAGAGAATACGTAGACTTTCATCCTTAATTATTATATATTATATTTTCCAGAGTATAAGTTTGACTATATTGATATTAATGATCCTACCACTTTTAGAGAGGCCATCTCTAGCTCCCATGCTCCTAATTTCCTAGACGTCATGCATAATAAATTGACCTTCATAACTCATAGTGTTTGGAATTTTGTGGAGTTAGCAATTAGATGTAACCCAATCGGATGTAAATAGGTCTTTAAGATCAAGCATAATCTAGATAGTAAAGTTGACAAGTACAAGGTCAAACGTGTAGCTAAAGGCTAGAGTCAAAGAGAAGACATTAATTATAAAGAAACTTTTTTACTAATCTCTACTGAGGACACTTTTAGTGTTTTTATGCTCTTAATAGTTCACTTTAACTTGGAACTTCACCAAATGGATGTCAGAATAACTTTTTTTTAGTGGAGATTTAGTTAAGGATGCCTACATGGTACAACTATAGGGTTTTGCTAAAAAAAAAGGCAAAGAACATAAGGTCTGTAAACTAAAAAAATTCATTTATGGATTAAAATAAGCCTCTAGGTAATGGTACTTGATATTTGATAAGGTGATTACTTCTCTCAAGTCCAACAAAATTACCTCATATTAATGCATTTACTTGAAAACTAGAGAGTTATTTTGATCATTCTGGTCTAATATGTTGATGATATTCTCCTTTCTAGTAATTGTATTAAAATTTGACTAAGATAAAATTGTTGTTAAGTAACCACTTTGATATGAAGGACCTTGGTGATGCATGAATAGTACTAGGTATCCATATTTATTGTAATGAGTCACGTGGCACTCTAAGATTGTCTTAAAGAAAATATATTAAAAAGATCTTGAAATGATTCAACATACATCATTGCTCTCCATGTGCTATATCTGTTCAAAAATACAATAAACTCAAAGTCCTTAAGATGAAAATGAAAGAAATGAGATAAGTAAAGCCTCATATGCTTTCATTGTTGGTAATTGATGTAGGCTCAAGTTTGTAGTCATCCAAATATTGCTTTTGTTATTAATACTTTAGGGAGATACTTGAGTGACCTAGGGTTGAGTCACTAAAAAGTCGTTAAAAAGGTCATAAGGTATTTGCAAGGCACAAAAGACTATAAGTTAACATATGTGAAGTTTGATCAACTTCATATTGTTGGCTATTCTGGTTATGATTCACAAGTTGTCCTGACGATCAAAAATCTACTTCTAGTTATATATTTATGATGACAGAAACTATCTCTCAAAAGAATATCAAACAAACTCTTACAACTATTTTTACTAGGAGGTAGAGTATATTGCTTACTTTGAGGCTATTTGTCATGTCATGTATCTTAAAACTTTAATATCTGACTTTCACATTATTTTTGTCTTTTTTTTCACATCATCTAGCAAGTTAATTAATTGTCTCACAATTAAACAAATATATTTTTGCCTTTTTCTTTTACTCATTATAAAGAGAACAAGTTTTTTATTATCTCAATCTCAATACTGCAAAATGAACAATGAAAAAAATTAATGATTTGACGACAAGTATACATATTTAACTTCATTTTTTAATAAACTGAAAAAGATATATCATAATTTAAATTTTTTGAATTGTAAAGTTAATATTTCAAATTATTAAATAATTTAACAGTTGAGGCCTAAGAGTGTAGCTACAACTAAAATCACTAATCAACAAAGATGAATGAAACTCTTGCTACCTTCACGAGTAAGTTTGTTGGTTTTGTTAATCAAACCAATTTGTATCACCCTACAAATGTTTTACCGTTGGCATAATGAACGTGCTGCTGAAATTTTTTTCAACTCCTAGTTTTGCTCCATTAATTTCTACACCTAACTAATTACGCCCATGAAGTGGTCATTTCCTATGAAAACTATTTTCGGTCCACGACACCTCATAAGAAATCCTTGGATATCGTAATTCGTGACTAGTGATTTTCTTTTCCTTTTTCCTTGCCAGGTCAAGACTACATGCTGCCACAACTTGTTTCGCAACATCCCTCTACGGAGGTGGCCCTAGCTCCCCATGGCTTTCTAGATCTTGTCAATTTAGTAGACTCCTTTAAACATACAATATTTGCAATAATGAAACTTTTACTGGTTGTGGAATTGAGACAATCCACCAGTCGGAGTAACAATTTGGCAAATGGATTTTGTTTTCATATCTAACGTTTCCCAAGTCCTCTATCTACAATCGACAATTTAAGTGACATTTGAGAAATAATATCTAGAAACAAAGTTAAGCACAAATGACCAGTTAAATCCGCAGACATTTGTTCAGACACAGAATCCCAGAGCAAATGGCTGTATGAAAGTAACCAAACCCAACCTTGTATATTGAAAATTTGATACTTGAACATCAGATCCTGGAAATCATAGAATGAAGCAACTAAAATGAAAAAGTATAGCACTTCCCTATACATACAATGAGATCGTGACTCCTTGAAAGAACTCTTCCACAAACAAATCCTAATTGTTTGAAAAAAACTAATTCTCCACAAAGTCAGCGAGTCCAGTCACAGTCAGTGAAGCCAGCATTGATACATTAAAGGCCATTGTATTTCATGGCAAGCACCTAAATTGGTATCAACAAATGCAATTGAAAGTCCAAAACTCTTCATCTCTAGTGTTAGGAAACCCTTTTCTACCAACAGTTGAAACAAAGGCCGTAACAAGAATAGCCAAGTCACAATTGCCTACGAATCTGTCCCGCTAAATTCAAAAAAAAGAAGAGGTATCTCAGGAGGAGATGGTGTTATTGCCACGCATTTGTACTGCACCAAAACATCCAATGCAACTGAAATCAGAATTAATTTCTCCAATTTAACAAGTAAAATGAGATTAATAGTCCAAATTTAAATTAAAAAAGAAATTACTCAAGACAGAACAGATTACAAATAATACCTTATGTTGTTTGTATTTTTCCCTAACGGCATGCAACGAGCCCCCTCTCCTAATGAGGTACAAGTCATGTATATATAGAACACATTCCTTTAATTCAGTAGGTTTATATCTAGTGAGCTGACAAAGTGCTGAATTCTGCAAATAAATACTATATAATTTAGTAACTGCCTCCACATTGGATACCAAATACACATCTATGAAAATGAATCATTACCCATGGATGTGTCTTTGGGCTTAACATAAATCTCGCCAGAAATACCACAGATGCAGCTACCAAAGAAGGCAAGAACTTTACACAATTATAATCCAACAAGCTGAGTTCAGCAAGGAAGCAACTAAGCAACTCAAACTTTAGATCAGAAGCCTGCACAACAGGACAAGAATATTAATCAAATGTTGAACTCCCCATATTTGTCAGTGTGCACAACTGTGTACACCAGAGAAAAAAAAATCAAGGGTAGGTTTTTCTAATCCCATTGAATTGAGCAACTGGGCAAAATTCTTCTCAGTTTTGCGATTTCCCCTAATATAGAGGAAACTGCTGTTAATATAAAAAACTTTTAAGCTTTTAAAAAGTAACGAATAAGTTGAAACCAGAGTTAACTTACATCAACACCCTCTTGACCAACACTAGAGAATCTCCTGCAAACAAGGGAAAAGCATAAAATAAGCCAACTTACTAGGAAAAACACAACTAAAACAAGACAATTCAATGCAATAATGACACAGAATCAACAGAGAAACGTGCCTTAGGAATGTCATCACTGTAGGACCTCCCAATTGAAATTTCAAGGACTTCAATATATCAGCTTCCATATTCACAACCTTCATAAAATAAAAAATAAAAAAATAAAAAAGTTCCTACAATCAGCAAAAGTCCTAAGCCAAACCATACTCAATAACACTAACGAAAAATGAAACACGTTAGTCACCTCTTCCTTGGAGTATGTGTTGTCCGTAATATAACAAAAATCCTCCACTTCAGGTGGCTTAATTTCTTCATATTTTCTATTAGTAAAACAAAAACAAAAACATTATTTTAAAAAACATAAAAATAAAACCTCATTGAAGTCAGATTTCAAGTATTTGGAAACTCACGAAGCAATGAGCATCGCAGATACCCCGAGTAATTGCAATTTATGTCTCGTTAAAACATTCGAAGACAAAAACCTATCAATGTAAGAAATAGAAAAAAAAAGCGTGTCGGAAGAAAGCCTATATTCCTCAGCAACCTCCACCAACCAATCCACCAAAACACCCCTCATGTTAGCATTAACATCCCTCTGAACTTTCTGAACATAATCATGTAACGGTCGTTTACTAGGATCCACCTGAGTCACCAAAAAAGAGGAAAAAAAACGCGTGTTATTCCCAAAACGACACCGCAAATCCCAAATTCGGAACTGAAACTAAAACCCTAACGCAGCAAAGGTGCAAGCAATACCTCCATCCTTCGAAGGTAGTCGTAAATATCAGAAACGTAGGGTCCACACAAATGGGTTTCATTTAACTTCTCCGGCGTGATTACTGTCTCCGTCGGTTTCACGAGCTTTCTTTTTTTCTCCTTGTGAGTATAGGAACCGGTTTTCTCCGGCGGAGCATCGGCATTGGGTAAGTTGGTGAGGTCACCCAAAACGGCGCGTTTCTTCTTAGCGGTGCCACGTAGTTCGCATATTGCAGCTGCGGCTCGCTTCTTGGCTTCGCGCTGGGGGCGCACGCTGCCATCTTGGTTTCTTTCCATGGGAACTTGAAAAGTGGAAAAGAACGGAGTGAGCAGGGAAACAGAGGGTTAAGAGAGGAAAATGAGATTGGTGTTGGTGTGTGTGATTGTGATTGTTGTTGTTATTGTAGCCTTGTAGGAGTGGAAGAGCGTGGTTTGAAAATTTTGCAGAGGGTATTGTTCCCGCTTCTGGGGTGCATTTGGATTTTCAGGAATCTTGGGCAATTCCTAAGTTTGGGCACGCTCTGAATCAATTTGAGTCTTGGATTCCCTCTTCTTTTTTTCCTTTTTTGCAAAATGAATTAGGGTATATTTGATGTTCCCTCTCTTTCTTACGTTGCCGAGGGTACTTCCTGGTTTCAAGTTTCAACGACGCGGGCTGTGTGGTAGGAACATTGTAATGAAATATTTTAGCGCTCATAGACCGAAATGTTTATCTGTTTCGTAAATAATATATTTTGAGAATAAATAAACCTATTTAGCTCTTTATTAAAGTTTTATTTACTTTTAACATAAGGTAAAAATCTACATTCTATAATTGTTGCGTTTTTTTTAGTTTTTTTAATCAATGTTATTAATTAAAGAACTAATAAATAAATAGATATTATAAATTACAATGAAAACAGATTAACATTTTTTAATACAAATTATTTTTATTTCTTAATTAATATTATAAAGACATTGATTATTGTTTGTCGTGCTTTTTACTCATGTGTATTAAATTAAATATAATACACTTCAATAGACTTGTGTACCTTTTTTTCCTTACACTATTAAATTTAACACAATTCATTGTAATTTTTTTTATGTTTGTTTGAATAGTTAATTTTGACAATAAAGTGCATTTGTATCTTACTTTTATATTTTGTGAAATAATTTAGCCACAAATAATTTATTTAATAATGTTCGTTGATATAATATCTTAATAAATGAATAATTATAATAAAAGAAAAAAGTACTACTTAATATTAAAATTTAAACAAGTTATTTTATTTTTAAAGTACACAAATACTATAATAGAATAAACAAAAATTAATAAGAAAGACAATGGTATAACAGTAGAATTTAATACGTTGTTATCAAAAGATGAGATGATATTACATCAATAAAGTTGAGAGATCTGCATTTACATCTGCTCTGTTTAAGCAAATTTTAATTTTGTTTAATAAAAAATAGACTACAAAATGTTTGATTAGAGCTAATTTGCTTAAGTGGTAAATAATTCATTTAAGCAAAAAATTAGACTATCAAAAGGAAGAAGGCAATCATAATGAGCTAAGTTTTGAAGTGCATATAAATTATTGCATTATGTGTTTTCTTATGTGAGGAGATTGAGTCAATTATTATACTTGAAAATTTGTTTGAAAGTTTAGAAAAAAAAAAAGAAAGAGTTTAAAAAATAAGAGACAAGAATGAAAAGAGGGAGTAAGGGGGTTAATATAAATCTCTCAAATTGAAAAACTTGAAAATATGAGATTATAAGGGTTTTTAACTCTCTCTATTCTATCTAAAAACTTTCAAACATGGTTAAACATCATATAGGTTTTTTCCTTCTCTTTCTCTAAAAACTAACTTCCAAGTACAACATTAAATTCAATTTTTGAAATTCCTCCAAATTAAAAGATTTTAAAAAAAAAATTAAATATCCAAATAAGGAAAGGGTTTAACCCTCCTTTTCCCTCTTTTCTCCTCCTTTCTCATACCTTCAAATCATTTTCTTTCATCTCCCTTTAAACTTTTAAACAAAGTCTAAAACTAGTTGACATTACAATAGATTGAAGGTAACAAAGAGGAACCCCTAAAGTTCAAACAATATCTAACAAAAAAAGGATATTAAGAACATGAGTCATAACATAACCGAAGACATAAGCACAAGTCTAACAAAAAAAGAACATTAAGAAGAAAATACAAGTCACAATGTAACCAAAGGTGTAAGCACAAGTCTTACATTAAAGTTGTGTGAGAATAAAACCAATAAACATATTATGTATATGACTAGTTATGGATAATAAAAGCAGTTTCAGGTTACCCTCTTGAACCACTTTTAATCCATCAATAGTGCATATTTTGAAATTTAATCCAATGTGATCACTTATTTCTTAATTCATTTCTTTTTGAAAGTCTTATTTTCACTTAGTGAATTAATTTTTATCTAAACTCGTTTTTTTTATATTCATTTTTGCTTAAGTGATATTAGAATTCACTTAGCCAAATGAACAAAATTTTACAATTTTCTTGCAATTGTGAATTGAAATTGAGTCCATCTACCTTGGTTTACTCCATCCTATGAATACTTTATTAAAAAAAATAGTTTAATTTGCTTTTTCCCTTTTAAGTGAGCTAGATATTTTAGTATGGCCAATTTAAAGGTGGATTATGAAGTTAACGAGTTTATCAAAGAAATAATTATAAAATTAATAAAAATTTATAAAAAAAATTTAAATAAAATTTGATATTAATAAAAAAGGAAAAGATTTTCTCACACTAGTGTAAATCTAAAAACTCTTACACTTAATCTAAACCTTTCATTTAACTTACATATAATGATCAGTGAAGTAATAAATTATAACCAATTAGATGTAAGTTAAATGAAAAACTCAAATCAAATGTAAAAGTTTTAAAACTTACACTAGTATAAAAAGAACTCGCTTCTTAATAAATTAAGAGTTTAGTTAACTTCAACCCTTAAGACTGAGGATAAACAGCTAATAATAGTAAAATTTTATTAGAAAGAGAAGTATTTATTATATTTTTATAACTTCAATACAATAACTGTATACTTTTTTCATAAAATTTTTTTATTTATGGATGCTTAAATTCAGCTCTAAAGGCTGAGATTAAAAAAAAAATCTAAAATTAATATTTAAGTATTTTTGCTTTTAAAAATTTAAAAATATGAGTCTAACAGTTAGTGTGTCTCAATCCATCTTGTATTTTGATATGCTAAAATAAGAGAACTTAAACAAACTTATGAATGTAAAACTTTTAGTCCAACCCATCTTTTTTGAGAAGTTAATATCTGAGTTGGATTATCAAGCCTAATTCACTTTACCACCCTACTCACATACATGAATGTATAAGATTATTTAGATTTGATATATTTTAATAATCAATTTGAAACATAGTTGGATTTATCCTAACTTTAGTTTAACAAATTTTTTCTTTTATTTTTTTAATTAATTATCTATTAATAATAGAATTTAAAAATTTAATAAATAATTATTTATGTATAATGATATCATATGTGTAGAAGGGTATTGTATTTCCTTAAAATTAAATAGGTACAACAGAGGCTATAAATACACACATTAGGAGTAATAAAAACAGGAAACTAATAAACAAAATCCTAGATTTTCTACCTGCTATTATATACATGATTCTATTCTAAGAAAGAAATAATCTGTCATAAAACAAAATTATTACATTAATAATGGCAGTAGATACAATCCTAAAATAAAACGGATTACCAACATTCCCCCTCAAGTTGGGTGGTGAATATCAATCATCCCTAGCTTGGATCTTAAGTTTTCATAATTAATTTGTGATACTCCTTTAGTCAGAATGTCTGTTGTTTGCTGGTTTGAAGGAGTATATTCAAGTATAACACTGCCATCATCTATCTTCTCCTTGATGAAGTGGTGGTCTATTTCTACATGTTTGGTTCTGTCATGATGAACCAGATTTCTTGCAATACTGATGGCTGCTTTATTATCACACATGATTTCCATGGCATGTTCTGATAACACACATAGCTCCTTGAGCATCCGATGAAGCCATATCCCTTCACAGATACCATGAGCCATGGCTCTAAACTCTGCTTCAGCACTACTTCTTGCAACTACAGATTGCTTTTTGCTCCTCCAAGTTACTAGATTCCCCCAGACATAGGAACAATACCCAGTTGTTGATTTTCGGTCTGTGACAGATCCAGCCCAATCTGCATTTGTGCAGATTTCTATTTTTTGGCAAATATTCTTCTTGAAATATAGTTCTCTTCCAGGAGCCTTCTTGAGGTACTGCAGAATTCGGTTGACAGCCTTCATATGATTTTCTGTGGGATTATTCATAAATCGATTTACTAAGCTAACTGGATAAGCATATATCAGGTCGAGTATGAGTCAAGTATATTAGTTTTCCCACCAATCTCTGATATCTGTCTCGGTTTGTAAGGAGACTTCCTTCTTCAGACCCAAGTTTTGAATTAGCCTCTATAGGTGTGTCTACTGGTTTGCATCCTAACATCCCTGTTTCCTTTAGCAAATCTATCATATATTTCCTTTGAGAAATAGCAATACCATCTTTGGTGCGGGCCACTTCCATCCCAAGAAAATACCTTAGATGTCCAAGGTCTTTGACTTCAAATTCATTTGCAAGGAATCTTTTCAGCTTTAGAATCTCTTCTTCATCATCCCCAGTGATGATGATGATATCATCTATATAGACAATGAATAGAGTCATTTTTCCATTCTTTGCATGCTTTACGAACATAGTGTGATCAGTTTGGCATTGGGTAAAGTCGTAACTCTTTACTACCCGGGTTAAGCGATCAAACCACGCTCTAGGTGATTGTTTGAGACCGTAGAGGGATTTTTGGAGCTTACACACCTGACCGCAGTTTTCTGTTGTTTCTAGCCCTGGAGGGATTCTCATGTAGACTTCTTCTTCAAGATCTCCATTCAGGAATGCATTTTTTATATCCAGCTGGTAAAGAGGCCAGTCCAGATTTGCTGCCAAGGACAGGATGACTCGAACAGAGTTGAGCTTCACGACAGGAGCGAATGTCTCTTCATAGTCCACTCCATAGGATTGTGTGAATCCCTTAGCCACCAATCTGGCCTTGTGCTGGTTTGCTGTGCCATCCATGTTGTGTTTGACAGAAAAAAATCCATTTGCATCCATTTTCATGAACACCCATGTTCCATTCTTCTCCAGGGCATTTATCTCTTCCTCAACAGCCACCTTCCACTGAGGTTTTTGGAGTGCTTCTGTGACATCATAAGGCATCTTACACTGTCCAGATTAGTGACAAATGCCCTATATCCCTGTGACAAATTCTCATAGGACACAAAGTTACCAATGGGGTGTTGGGTACATGACCTCACCCCCTTTCTCAAGGCTATAGGCTTATCCAATTCATCTAAGACCGAGTAGTCATGGGACTAATCAGAATGAGTGTTACCTGTGTGGGACTCTGAGGCTTCTGGATTTTGGTTGGAAGACTGACCTTGCTTTGGAGAGGTGCAAGTCTCTAACTCCCTATTTGTCTTTCTCTATCTCGAATACACCAGCAATTCTTTACCCTGTTGCAGATCTGATGGTGCTGCATCCTAAGCTCCTTCTACCACAGGAATTCCTGCAGCTGC